ATGCTCGTCCCTCTCCAGACGTCAGTGTCCGGGGAGCTACACAGCTGAGGCGAGCCGGTCACGTTGGTGGGACCAGAGAGCGACGCGGGCACCATACCGGGGAAGGTGGGTTGGTAGAGGTGGGACTGGAGGCCGGAGCCGTTGGAGGACATGTTGGACAGGCTCATGGAGTTGTGTGGCGGTCCGGCGCCCAGGCTGCACTGGGATAGAGACTGTGCCATGGCTTGTTGTCGGCCTAGGGCGGGCGGTAACTGCAGCTGGGAGACTCCCGGCATCCCGGCCGCCGCCCAGCGGGTGTCATTAGCGTGAAAAGAGCACAGGCTGTCGCCCATGACTGCTGCGGCCGCCGCGGCGGAGGAGAACTGCGGTAGGCCGTGGTGAGTGGGCAGCAAAGTGCCGGGAGTGCGAAACACGTTGGTGGTCTTCTTGCGCTTCTTCCATTTGGCGCGTCGGTTCTGAAACCAAACCTGCGAGCAGAGGGAACAAAAAGAGCTGTCAGAAATGCTTACATTGCGCTAGAATAGATGTAAAAGTGGGCATTTAATAAGGAAGTTTAATAAAACAGCAATGTCGAATATTGCTCATTGGGACATTTTGTGTGACTACGATGTATTCGTGTTTTTGGTATCTTTTACGTTCACTAAAATAAATCAAACAGACAATAAATAAATACTCATTCTAAAATAAACACTACATTGTGTGTGTTTTTTGAAACCAGAGCCTAAAGTTCTTGATGTCACATTATAGATTCTTAAGAATCAATCAATATTTTTAATAGTTTATAATAGAAAAGTTTTTAATAGAAACCAATAGTTTCTTGGTTCTATACAACGAATTGTTCTAAGGATGCTAAAGAAATAGGCTATAGATGTCAAACATACATAAGTTGCACAAAAGAAAAATACAGATGAACAAAAATATGAGCAGAAATAGCCTACACGTGACACAATAGAAACATATTATTGATGCATTGTTTATTTGTTTGTTTGCATACAAAATATAGTAACTTTAAATTGGTAACATCTCAATTAAATAGTTTTATTCAAGTAAAAAAAATGCTATTTAATATCAGTGAATCAACCTAAATACATCAATTAACACTGTAGGGTTACAACAGATTATTGGAGTAAGTGAAAATGCTATTTTAGTTTTTCTATTTTAAAAATGTCATTCTTAATTCAATGTGTTAATTGCAGTTTCTTTGTAATTAATTGTGAAATTTACTGAACAATTTTTTTTACAAACAAAATATTTTATGGGATAAATTAGCAAGAAATAGCTATTGCAGGTTGCCACTTCAGACTATATAGGCAACATTTTTTATTTTCATATTTTTGTTTGTTTTCATTCATGCTTCTGTCCTTGATAAACGTCTCGACATCACAAAATGGCGCGATTAATGCTGCTTTAAATGATAAGGAATCATAATATTTACACTCTCCATTATTATGTGCTCGATTTTACAACACCAGGGCGTAAAAAGGCCCACCCTGGGCCGTAAAAGGCGCACATGGTGTTTATTTCCCGAGGTCCTTCAGGTTTATAGAGATCTCAGGCGAGCTCACAATGATTAACGAGCAGATTTTGACCCAACGAAAAGGGGAGAAAAAATGTGGAGGGGTTCATATTAGATCCCCGAATCCCACTCCACGCAGCCAGCCGTGAAATCCGGCCTCAAATGCATTACACTTCAGAGGATAAAAAAAAATGCAATTTCTCATACCATTAAAAAGAGACAGAGCACCATCCGCGCGCTCGCCATTAAGACGTGCGCGCTGACAGACCTATTTCACGCGAGCGCGAAACATTCGTGCAACATTTCAGAAGATCACCGCGCGGTCAGCATGCCACTCATTTATTTTTTATGTAAATAAAATAGTTGGGGCAGAGTCTCCGGCCTGCTAATTATGATGGTTATTATTTTACGCAGAATAGTCTTCTTACGCATTGAGCTTAATAAGCCTGTTAAGTTATAAATAATTCTGAACTTGGTTAATCATAATGGTCTTGGTTTTATTGCACTATCAACTCGGAAAGCTATACATATATAATGAGCCTCTATAGATCACGGAGAGAGCGCTGGAATGCACACGTGTCTCGCGGGTTCATTTACCGCTGCGTTCGCGGCTGACCACCAATCCCAGAAGCAGCACGAGTCATAATCTTATAAAAGTGATTAAGATATCGGTCTGCTCCGATGGCTGAGATAACAGTAATGGTATTGTAAAAGGAAGATGACCTGAACAATAAAATAATTATGAGAAGCGCGCCGCGTTTTAAATGGGCGCACTTTCAAGAGCCAAGAAAATAAACATAAGCTGAATCAAATACAAATAGGCCTATAGTAACATCAGTAATTATATATTATTATATTATTATAATACTAAAACAAAACAAATAAAACCTATATGGTGGTAGTGCTTAAAGCTTTACGGAGGCGTTGGATAAACACGATTTTAGAATCAAGGCGCAAATTCGTAAGATTGGGATTAATATCATGTTTGTGTTATTTGAAACTAAAAATGAAAAAATAAATAAATATGCTACTAATAATAAAAATAATACACAGGACATGCTTTTTCGTTTAAAACACCATGGATGTTTACATTTAATTTTAATATGAATTTAACAGTTTTGTAGTCTTTATTTATAATTGATTTCTTTTCTTTTTTTTTATTGACGATAGAGCTCGTTCGGAGATGTTTTCACAGTTTTATTTTTATGCAATTATTTTTTGTGCTCGTGTACTATCGACAAACTTTACATTTCGGCTCATCATGTAAGCAAACAGAAATGCACATTCTCAATACTTTATAATAAAAATAGGCTGGTCTTCTTAAAATTAAATGATAAGGCGTTTTCATTTCGTTATCTCTTAGACTTTACTAAATACTAAAACATTAGTATTCGAAAAACCTTTGTAACAAATATCAAGCCAAATTATCTACCTAACTATTCCTTTGGAATGCCATTTATAGAAAATAAAATCCGAATAATAATAATAATATATTGCTTTAAATGTATCGATTCACCTTTTTTCATTTCAAACATCATGATTGCAGCCTATAATAACGCTTAATATTTTATGAAAATATCCCATATATAGGCTATTGCACAGGATTAATACAATGTTAACGTCGATTTAACAATAATAATGTGAATAAAACAATCCGAAACATGTACCTGCACGCGTGATTCCGTCAGGCCGATCCGCAGCGCGAGCTCCTCTCGCATGAAGATGTCCGGATAGTGGGTTTTGGCGAAGCTGCGTTCCAGCTCGTTAAGCTGAGCCGGAGTAAAGCGAGTCCGGTGCCGTTTCTGTTTCTGACTCTGCTGGCCGCCGGACTGGCTGGTGTTCTGTTGCTGCTGCTGTTGCTTCTCCTGTTCCTTACTGTTCACCGCTACACCCGGCGGATTGGATCCAGCACTGTTGATATCGTCTCCGGGGAGAAGGGTGGCCCCTTCCACTGCATCGGAGACCGGGGCGAGTTCTCCGGGGTGGCCCGAGTCAGTTCCGCCGCCGCCCAGCCTGCATTTCAATGCCTCCCTGTGACCCAGAAGCTCGGCCGCGGCATCCTTCATCCCTGAAGCAGAGAAAACAGGTCGAAACTGAGTGAGCTCATAATCAACACCGAGCATTGCTGAAAAAGAGAGAAGTGTTAGTGCAAAAAAAAAATCACATTTCTAGACAGTCACAGCAAGCACTGGTCTTATGCATAAACTACCATTTGCTATTTGCCATTACAGCCATAAAGTGCAAATAATGGTGAAAAACTAGCTCACAACAATGTCATCTTTTAAAATACCTAATTCCATTTAATTCCCCTCAATATCTTGGAAAACGGCTAAATCAAATTACTGCGTAATATAATAATAATGATTACTTTACCAATGAATTAGTTCGTTTAAATCGAATTAAGATCAAATAAGAGACAAATTGTCAATTTTCTCTGCTTGATTTAGATGAGAAGAGTCCTCCAGCTTACAGTAGAGTTGCAGACCGGAGTTTGGCGTTGATAACTCACCGAGGCGAGCATCCAGCAGGTCGGCGTGCGAAAGCATCGCGCACCGCTCCAGGGCGAAATGCTTTCCCAAAAAAATCTCTATGACTTTAAACTATTTAAAAAATATATATGGCCTAAATGAAAGCAAATTCGGGTTGTGGTTAAAAAGGAGGTTCCTTGCATTATAATGTCCTTTAGAGGAACTGGGAGGCGCTTAATAGTTGAATGAACCCATGAGCTCCTTCAAATGAGAGCCAATCAGCGTTGAAGCCTGGAGGTGTCAGATGCGCGAAGCCTCTCTTGCTGCCCTCCCAAGTTCATTTCTCCTCGTTTTTGATCCGGACTCCCAAATTATAACCTTTAAAATGACCTCTTTCAGAAAGCTCTTCGAGAAACTCCCTCAGAATTGGTTTAATTGAGCGTGATGCCAGAACCGTTGATGGGGTCCCTGATTATTTGAGGAGAAACAGCGAATTAAAGTATTGTTATATAAACGTGTCAACCTTATCAAAGCCATATGGTTTAGTAATGGCTTCCCGAAGTTTATTACTGGACTGAACGATTAAACCGCGCTCTCTCTTTATGATACGAACTCATTTGATTTACTTGGGTTTTACGCGCGTCCATTAGATAAAAAAATAAAAATAAAAAATCGCCAGTGGGTTTCGCGGTTTAATTATAAAGTTCCCCGAGATTTTCCACTATTGTCACTTAATCGTTAGTTATAGTTTCGCGTTTCCTCGTAGAAAAAAAAGGCGGCCTTCGTGTCGTGCCATGTCCAACTCTCGCCTTTTGAAAACGAAGTGAACCTCTTCTAATGTTTCTAGTAGCCCGGGGCAGCCAACAACAAAGTTTAGATTAGCCCTATATCTCAAACCAGGGTAATTTTCAACATCATTAGGCTTTTATGTAATTAGTGCCAAATCTATAAGCTTTTTATTACGATTATTAGCGAGATCAGTATAAATTAGGGCTGATTTAGTAGTGTTTAGGCCCGACTGTCACGGCGGGAGGAACTTGGAGTAAATGATATGTGAGCAAATTAGGTGCATAATTCGGTGGAAAGTCAGAGTCAGAAATGGGCTTCCAGGGCTGATGCGCGCAGACACAGGGAAACCCCCACCGAAGCAAGGGGGGGGAGTGCGAGGACTTTCGCACCAAAATAGATACATTTAGACTTTAAACACTCTACGCTGACAAATTGTATTCGTTGCATTGATTGTTCATCCAATTGCCCCAAATTAACTTGATTTATTTCATGCAAAGAACACTGTGCAGCCCGTCTAACCACCAATAAACGAACCTGCATTTACACCAATTAACACAATAGCTTTTGTCACGCGCGGAGCCGATGAAAAATATCAGACAACCAGCGCAAACAGACTCTAAGCAGATGTCAGTGGGATGGTTTAAAGAACTCCTTTATTTGCAAGAGTGAATGGTGTCTTTTCAGCGCGCACAAAGGACGCGTCCGAGCGAGAAACTTTCCACTTTTTTTGACAAGCCACCAATCTGCTGGTAAGAACAAGAGCGCTCGCTTCCAGACGCCGGGTCAGATGCGACTCTTGACTCGCCGGGGAAATGTATATGCCTCGCTGAAAATGAGGAAAGGAAGAGAGTGCGGATTCAATTTGGAAACAATTGTTCTTGCGCTGCGTTTTGATATCCGAAATGTCAGAGAAGGCGAGCGAGGCACCGGGCGCGTAATGGAAGATCTCGGGTTTGTGTTCATCTCACACTTTGCTTTTGACCAGGAAACAGACTGAGGCTTTTTGAATTGGGATGTGGATGTGGCTTTCTACCAGAGACGTAAATATAAATCGAACGCGGTTGTGTTGTTTTATCTTGCTGGAGTTGTAATAATTGTATCCCACACGCTTAAAAAATAAAGGTTCTTCGGTTGTTCTATTCAAACAACTCCAACTTGAATTGTTTAGAGATGCTTCTTTGGAGACGTCAAACGAAATCTAGTCTTTTTCGTTTACAGATTCTAAAAGACTACAAAACAAAAGTGCCTTAAAATCACCTTCTCCAACGATAAATTCTGGTTCTAAGTGGAACCTTTATTTTAATTTTTTTTTATATGTGTACGATTGGATATTATTCACATGCATGAACTAACGCTTTTATCGCTGCTCACGTTTGTATATTTTTCCCACGTATCGCAGCAAGAAAATCAACTGCATTACCTCAACAATAACGATCATGTGAAATCATTACATTGTTTGTTCTGAAACAGTTGCCGCGTGATTGATAGCGCGCTTCATTTTACGACTTTTCAATAGCTCGATCCTTTTATAGCTGCACAAACAGAAGTGAATCACTCTTCTGGAGGCACGCGGTCATATTTAACGGACTAAAAGTGCGACAGACGCCTAACCATGCTTTCAAGGGGACATATGAATGAAGGGCTGCCCTGCACTTCATAAAATATGAACAAATATAGTGTGCAAGCTGTGACCCTCAATTAAAATTCTTATATCGCCTTACTGCTTGCTTTTGTCTTTATTCGGCTGAAAGGGGATTTTTTTTTGCGCCTCGGATCAAGTGTTTTTTTTCCCTAATAAATAAGTTTTAGATTGTTGCACACAAACGGAGCAAGGGCTGAAAACTGGCTGGCTGGAAATACATTGGCTTGCTCTAATGCAATTCATTACGTCTGTTTACCTCGTACAAAATGTACAGATTGAATTTCTGTACACCAATACCCGGCCTGCAGCCAGCTAGGGGATTTCAAGCTTTATTTGTGAAAGAAAAAAAAAAAAGAATCTCTAGGTCCTCTGAGCTGCAGCAAAAGGCGGTGATCACAACTAAAGTTCAGAAATCAACACAATAAAAAGCTATAAAACAAAACGCATAGCCTACGACCAGCACAGTACTTATTAGGTATTAACAAAACGTGTAATAATGCAAATAATAATAATATTTATTATATATTTATACTATGGTGTATACAACATGCACACGAAAAACAGCTAATAATGTAAACATAACCACTAATAATATTTGTAATTGTATCACCAAACAATTAGGCCAACAAACAGAATCAGAGAATTTTCCCAAAATAATTTTTCCACGTTTTCCTTCAAAAAACTGATTTAATGCACAAAAAACTATAAAATCAAATTATAAATTCAAAGACGTTCAAAACATTTGGCAAATTGAAGTGAAGTTAAAACAAACATACGTTTACTACTCTATGCACTGACCTCGTAATATTTAAGTTAAAACAGTAATAATTATATATATATATATATATAATATGTAATGTTATAATAATAACAAAAGCTTCTATGGATAAATTTGTGTGAAGTTAAAACGCACTAACCTCGTAATATTTAACAGTTATAACACTACTTTTATAACTTTAATATACATAATATGTAACGTCTATAAAAATAATGGTAGTAGTAACACATTTATAATATTTACTCATTTTCTAAGATGAAAGGTATTTTATAAGTCCTTTGCGCGCAGGGATTACAGAAGTTATGCATCAGTGATACTGTGTGTGTCACGAGAGAGAGAGAGAGAAGGAGGGTAATTTGGGAGGTGATTCAGAAGCAAAGCTGAGTTGCATCTCTCTCTCCCACCAGATAGCGATAACAAGCTGGCATCAATCTTACACTGCATATAAATAAAAATAGACAAACAAACAAACTCGCGCCCTGCAAGTTAATGCGGCGCATCTGAGTGGAAAGTAGACATTTTCACGCGCTCTGGAGATGAGGAGTGACTTTTAATAAAATCACAAGAAAAACAAATGTAATTCTGAACGCGGTCTGGAGCTGAGAGAATTCTGCTCCCGGGATTTTCAGCGAGGCTTTTGTTTGACTGTCACCATCTCATGGCCTTCATATCCACCATCACATCTGTCCCACACGCGCACTGACATGCAGGACACATTTCCACACATACATGATGTTGCTTCTCCACCAGCACACAAACACGTTTCAATTCAATGCCAATTATAAATACAGACTAATAATCACTAACCCTAACAATTGCGCAAAAGGAAGCGTTTTATATTAAAAATATATACTTTATATTATATGATTATACCTTATTATAGCACATATATGATGACCTATATTACAAAAAATAAATTATTTACTCTTCTCCCGAATTGACGTTTGACTCCCGATTACTATAAAATAAAACCACATAAAACTAAACAATAAAACCATCCTCGAAGTCATTCACATTAAAAAGTGGTGCACGAAAAAAAAAAGTTTTTATGTGCACTACTCTTCCCTTCAGGCACGGATAAAAGAGGTTTTGTCAGATTTATCCAAAGTCTGTAAACATATTTTGACTCCAAAATGTGGCATAATCGCATTCTTAGTTAATTGCATAATTGTTAAAGCAACATATTTACAGAGTACTCAAAATACAGCTTTTTTATTTCGGAAAAATTATATGACATGTATTTGTAAACATCTCCTCTTTGAGAATGTCCTCAAAATAATAATAATAATAAATTATATATATATATATATATATATATATATATACGCAA